AGGTGGTTAGCTTACAGGGAAGTAGAGTGAACCAAGGGGCGGGGGGTTTCATCAAGGAGAAACAAACAGAACTTTCACACCGTAGCCTGGCCTGTCATGAAACTGGTTTTCAAAGCTTCTCTGATGCGTACCGCGCCCTCCTGTGCTCTTCTAACTGCCCTGGTGTCTGGCTGCGCGTAACCAGCAGCCAGGCGATTTGCCTCAACCTCCCACCCCGCCATAAACGTCTCCCCCTTACTCTCACAGATATTGTGGAGCACACAGCAAGCAGTAATAACAGTGGGAATATTGGTTTCGCAGACATCTAACCGAGTCAGTAAACTGCGCCAGCGCGCCTTTAAACGTCCAAATGCACATTCTACCACCATTCTGCACTTGCTCAGCCTGTAGTTGAACAGCTCCTGACTACTGTCCAGGCTGCCTATGTACGGCTTCATGAGCCATGGCATTAAAGGGTAGGCTGGGTCCCCAAGGATAGCTATAGGCATTTCAACATCCCCAACAGTTATTTTCTGGTCTGGGAATAAAGTCCCTTCCTGCAGCTTTTGAAACAGACCAGAGTTCCTGAAGATGCGAGCATCATGGACCTTTCCCGGCCATCCCACGTTGATGTTGGTGAAACGTCCCTTGTGATCCACCAGAGCTTGCAGCACTATCGAAAAGTACCCCTTGTGGTTTATGTACTCGGCGGCTTGGTGCTCCGGTGCCAAGATAGGGATATGGGTTCCGTCTATAGCCCCACCACAGTTAGGGAATCCCATTGCAGCAAAGCCATCCACTATGACCTGCACATTTCCCAGGGTCACTACCCTTGATATCAGCAGATCTTTGATTGCGTGGGCTACTTGCATCACAGCAGCCCCCACAGTAGATTTGCCCACTCCAAATTGATTCCTGACTGACTGGTAGCTGTCTGGCGTTGCAAGCTTCCACAGGGCTATTGCCACTCACTTCTCAACTGTGAGGGCTGCTCTCATCTTGGTATTCATGCGCCTCAGGGCAGGGGAAAGCAAGTCACAAAGTTCCATGAAAGTGCCCTTACGCATGCGAAAGTTTCGCAGCCACTGGGAATCGTCCCAGACCTGCAACACTATGCGGTCCCACCAGTCTGTGCTTGTTTCCCGAGCCCAGAATCGGCGTTCCACAGCATGATCCTGCCCCATTAGCACCATGATGCATGCATTGGCAGGGCCCATGCTTTCAGAGAAATCTGTGTCCATGTCCTGATCACTCACGTGACCGCGCTGACGTCGCTTCCTCGCCCGGTATCGCTTTGCCAGGTTCTGGTGCTGCATATACTGCTGGATAATGCGTGTGGTGTTTAATGTGCTCCTAATTGCCAAAGTGAGCTGAGCGGCCTCCATGCTTGCCTTGGTATGGCGTCCGCACAGAAAAAAGGCGCGGAACGATTGTCTGCCGTTGCTCTGATGGAGGGAGGGGCGACTGACGACACGGCTTACAGGGTTGGCTTCAGGGAGCTAAAATCAACAAAGGGGGTGCCTGTACATCAAGGAGTATTTCAGGCAGGACTGCACGGAGGGTTCCAATAAGAAATGGTGCACCTAAGTTATCGTTCTTATTGGAACAGGGAGGTTAGCCTGGCCTCTGATTGATACATGGCTAGATTTACCTCGCTGCACCTTCTCTGTGAGTGACTGCAGTGTGATCTAGAGGAATGAATCCCCTAGATAGGGGACGAGGCAAATGAGTACAAAACAAATCTGGTCTATTTCTTGTTCTGAGCCACTCCATCTATCTTTTACATCTTTGGCTGGCAGCAGACGGTGCAGAAGGACTGCATGCCATCCACATCTCATGGCTGCTCGGCAGAAGATGGTACAGTACGACTGCTAGCCATCTTCATCTCTTGCCTGCCTGGCAGAAGATGGTACAATACGACTGCTAGCAATCCTCATCTCTTGCCTGCCTGGCAGAAGATGGTACAGTACGACTGCTAGCAGTCCGTATCGCCTGCCCGCTCACCATAAGACGGTTCAATAGGACTGACTGCAGGACTAAAGAGAATGACCTGGTCAAGTCACTCCAAATTTAGTCCCTGCGCCCATGTCTGCCCAGGCGCTCCCAGCCGACGTGGCCAGGAGCACCTTGGACACGACGAGGACAACTACCAGTCGTATTGCACCGTCTGCTGCCAGAAGGCAATGGGTTGCTGCTACTGTGCAGCAAAGCCATACCGCGTCTGCCAGCACCCAGGAGACATAGGGTGACGGTTACCTGAGCGGGCTCCATGCTTGCCGTGGTATGGCGTCTGCACAGGTAACTCAGGAAAAAAGGCGCGAAATGATTGTCTGCCCTTGCTTTCACGGAGGGAGGGAGGGAACGGGGGCCTGACGATACGTACCCAGAACCACCGCGACAATGTTTTAGCCCCATCAGAGTGCTCCATTGTACTGCTCTGACAGCACTCTCAGATGCCCGATTGTTTGCCGTTGTCTGACGCCGGGAGGGGCGCTTACAGGGTTGGCTTCAGGGAGCTAAAATCAACAAAGGGGGTGGCTTTACATCTAGGAGTATTTCAGGCAGGACTTCACGGAGGGTTCCAATAAGAAATGGTGCACCTAAGTTATTGTCCTTATTGGAACAAGAAGGTTAGCCTGGCCTCTGATTGATACATGGCTAGATTTACCTCGCTGCACCTTCTCTGTGAGTGACTGCAGTGTGATCTAGAAGAATGAGTCCCCTAGACAGGGGAGGGGGGGAAGCAAATGAGTACAAAACAAATCTGGTCTATTTCTTGTTTTGATCCACTCCATCTATCTTTTACATCTTTGGCTGGCAGCAGACGGTGCAGAAGGACTGCATGCCATCCACATCTCATGGCTGCTCGGCAGAAGATGGTACAGTACGACTGCTAACAGTCCGTATCGCCTGCCCGCTCACCATAAGACGGTTCAATAGGACTGACTGCAGGACTAAAGAGAATGACCTGGTCAAGTCACTCCAAATTTAGTCCCTGCACCCATGTCTGCCCAGGGCTCCCAGTCGACGTGGCCAGGAGCACCTCGGACATGACGATGACGGCTACCAGTCGTACTGTACCGTCTGCTGCCAGAAGGCAAGGGGTTGCTGCTACTGTGTAGCAATGCCGTACCGCGTCTGCCAGCACCCAGGAGACATAGGGTGACGGTTACCTGAGCGGGCTCCATGCTTGCAGTGGTATGGCGTCTGCACAGGTAACTCAGGAAAAAAGGCACGAAATGATTGTCTGCCCTTGCTTTCACGGAGGGAGGGAGGGAACGGGGGCCTGACGATATGTACCCAGAACCACCCGCGACAATGTTTTAGCCCCATCAGGCATTGGGATCTCAACCCAGAATTCCAATGGGCAGCGGAGACTGCGGGAACTGTGGGATAGCTACCCACAGTGCAACGCTCCGGAAGTCGACTCTAGCCTCGGTACTGTGGAAGCACTCCGCCGAGTTAATGCACTTAATGCACTTAGAGCATTTTCTGTGGGGACACACACACTCGAATATATAAAACCGATTTCTAAAAAACCGACTTCTATAAATTCGACCTTATTCCGTAGTGTAGACATACCCTAACACATAATAGTGGGTTGATCTATTGGATACCCTCTGCTTCATTACAAGGCACTCTGCTTTCAACCTTGTGCTTCTCAGCACAAGTATCTTCTATAGCCACACATTCTGGGCCAACTTGAGGTCATATGGTAAGAGGATGGTCACCACTCCTGAAACAGACTTGCTGGTATGTGAATCTGCAACCACATGCACACAAAGTGCAATAATTTCTACTGCTCTGCTCAATAACTGCACCTGAGGGTGTGGTATATAGGACAAGTTAGTAGGTCAGAGTAGGTGGGTGTGAATGATGATAAGTTGGTTTAACACACAAAGTGGGGTGGAAGGGCAAGGTTGAAGCAGGCAAATCAATCACTAAGAGGGTGTGGTTTTTTTGTTTTGTTTTTTTGTTCTTAAAAAGCCAGGATGGCAATAAAAAAGGTCTGCCTTACCATGTAAAATAAATGTATTTATATTTGCTCTATTTGACCTGTAACTTACCTTCATATATACACTCTGAATTTGTCCCCTTATCCTTTGGTGTTGGATATTGTTTGGGATTTTAAATATAGTTTTGTTACATTTTTAAATGAAAGGAATTTTTCAAAAAATAAAGGGACTTAATTATAACCGTATTCATGAAAAGTGATTATTTTATTTAAAAAATAACTGAAAATAATTAAATCTTTTCCCCCACAGTAAGTATTGGACCGTCCCTCTGTAATGAGTACTGAAATTTACTATTTCCCTCCCATTAAAATGTAATTTTGTTTTTAATAAGCATCAGCAAACCAGCTTGGATTCACTAAGAACTGGCTTGAACCTGTTCTGAGTTTTGAATCAGTTCAGTTACTTCAAAATGTCATGTGACTGCACTTCCTGAGCACAGCTGAGTCTGGAAGTAGAGGTTTCATAGGAGTGGCTAGGTTAACTTGTCAAGATTTCTAGCCAAAATACAATAAATAATCATCCAGTCCATTATAGTTTTAGGGCAGTTCTTTCGGTAAAATCATTGCAGACAAAGAATCATTGCACTGCATAGTCTCGTTGTATAATGACTAACAGAATGTCTATGGAACAAAAAAGCACTTTTTTCTTATTGTCCCTTTTGTGTAGAGTTTGTGTAAGTATGAAATCTAAATAAATATATAAAACAATTACATCCATTGTCAGTGCCAATGGGCAGAGTATGCATAAAGGGTGCCTTTTACACTATTGTGAAACAGATAGGTGTTTGTGATATTCAGGCAAATTTCTTGTCTCAGCTGCCTTTCTGTGCTGATCTATTTTTTGTGCTGCAATTGTTTTTAAAATGTCCTTGGTGCTCCAGAAAGAAGAATACTTTTGTTGAGTGATCAAAATCAGGTAATAGCACACTGCTTTTAAAGACCCCATGTTATTCTGGTTTGTCTCAAGAGAGTAAAAATGACATGTTATGCTCTTTTTCCATTTCAGTATATTCAATATACTCTTCTTCCATTTGCGGGTATAAACTTGGCTCAATTTGCAAGAGGAATACATCTGAGGCAGAGTTGGGAGTTTCAGGGAACAAATTGAACAGGCCCGTCCAGACAAAACTAATGTAAGTACTCAAAGAGGAGTATAGTGCACTAGATATAATGTAATTCATCCAATGGGGTCCAATCTAAACCAAACAAAAATGTGGGAGATTTAATTGAGTTTGCATGGCAAAAATGGCCAATTTCTCCATTTGTAGGTGATAACACATATATTTCTCACAGGCCGTTAGACCGTAAAAAATTTATGAGACCCTTAAAGTAGAAACGTGAAATTCAAATATCTCTGAACCTAGAGGCTATGAATAACCCACACATAGTTGAGAGATATTTTTCATTCTTTTGCCTTTGTCTGCCCTAAAGAGCATATACAGCAATCATTGCTGTATTTTACAATGCTGTTTCCAGAAGGACATTACAGTGCTGAAAAATGCTGAGTCATCTAACATCATTGGTAGAACCAGCCAGATGATACGTCCCAGTGTGATTTCAGCATGGTAGGTCAGCATGGGCAAGCACATGGCAGGGAAGGCACAGTAGCTGGATGCTTTGATATCTATACATCCTTTTATTCAAATGTCTTGTCTATTAAATGTTAATGATAAAAATGAATGGCACTGTAACAACATGAAATAATTGGTAAAAACATAGACTTTAAGAGGTAGAAAAGACCTAATAGGTTTAGATAGGGGTCTGTGCCTAAACTATGATCTAAACAGTCCCAAAATTTGCATTGGGTTCCAAGCTGAACCGGACTTCAGAACCACAGACTTGGGGAAGTGTGAATCTAAACTTTGCAGATTAGGCTGCTCTCTAATTATGTTTCCTAGCTCGTTCTCCTGCCAATAAAGGATTAATTTAGTTTCTGTTTTCTTAGCAAATGGGACATCCCATCTTCATCAGTCTCTGGTGTTTCCAGGGCCAAGTATGTTGTATCATTTCACAACCTAGGTTTAACAGATTTAACATACGATAAGAGTTCAGTACCACATGGTCATGGTAAATATAGAATTTCACAGATGTTAGGATGTTTTATGACTTTTGGATTTGCTGGGAACTGTAATTGTAAGAGGCACCAGACATTAATGAGCATGGAAACTAAACTGCTGCAATGTTGAGGAAGAAGAAATCATTCCTGTTGGTCATGAATGATGTGAAATGATGAAGCAATGAATTGAGAGGAGTTGACAGCACACTACCCACTGGCAATTGTTTTTGGACTGTTGCTGTAATGATTTCCAGTATGTTACTAAAAAGATCTTCCATCTTTATTTATACACAGAACTGCAATAATAATACGAGGTTATCCCATTACTGAAGGTAGAGTCTATTTGGCCAGTTATCAGTATCTATATAAATTCCTCTTCTGGAGATTTGAACAGGCATAGGCAACTATCATTGAGGTTATAAAAACAAACTGCATTTCTCTTGGCCTAAGTTAGCCAGCCAATCTGCTGCACTGCAATTGCAAGCTATTCTATTTTTGCAGTACTGGATATTGTTGCCAGAGTTGAAAATCAGGAGCACTCCTGCCTAAAGGCAACTGACTCTAGGAATGCAGGCCATTTAATGAGTCTTTGCCTTTTCCACACACCAAGTAAGAGTAATAATAGCCTTGGAAAGCTTATACAAGAAGCCATTAAACTGATCAAACAGAGGGCAGTAAACACATGTGCTGGGAGCAAAATTATTACTGGAAACTAGATAGACAAAGAGTTGCTGTTTTGTCCAGATTAGCAGAAGGCAAATTAATATTTCTGTTATTGCACTCAGACGTAGCAGCCTGTTTAAAGATGAACCAAGTAACCGCAGGGAGATAGTCTTGCTAACCAGAAACGAATAGAATCACTCTTTTTAGCCGTGATTTTGTTTGAACAAACCCAAGATTACTGATTTAAATGGGATTTCTTATGTACTAAAATGCTTTGTTGGATTGGGGCCTATGTACAAGCAGGTGAACAACTTAACAGGTGCTGTGACTTGATGTGGTCTGATGAGATGAGTAGACAGGGAGTGTGATTTATAAGTTCTAGAGTAAAACTGTGGACCTTGGTGATCTGAATTAGCAAACAAGCCTTTTCTCCTTTTAGCTTGGGGGTTTTTGCATTTTGGTTTGAGTTTTGAGTTCACACAATCCCTTGAAATCAAAGCCAAAGATGAGACTGCTGGGTTTTTGCTTGGCTTGGGATCCAACTCATGTAAAAATCACAGCTTCTCATGGCTTCTGCTTAAAAACACAAATTATCCTAATTTACTGGAAACTCAGCCTTAGCTGATTGGACGATCAGATCACCTTTTGGTGAACATGGCAGGAGTTTCAGGTTAGCAGTGAAACCAGGTTTCATTATGAGCATTTATTCTAAATCCAGGCATAGGTATTATAGTGTAGGAGCAGAGCAGTGTGTGTGGGATGATTGTGGGTGATAGTTTACAGATACAGATTCACATCTGGGGATACCCTGACTTTTGTAGGTATGGACTGTGGCAGAGGGCAATGGCAGTGGAAAATCCAGGAGGGCATGGGTTTGCAGCTGTGGGGCCATAGGAAGTCAATGAAGCTGATGAAGTGGTCAGGAAGGGGATATGATGAATGCAGGTAAGGAGAACACTGATTTGGTACCTCCCCTTGACATTTTTTGCCCTGGGAGCTTATATGGTGCTCCTGTGTAATTCAAAGCTGGGCCACTCTGCCTTCCTGGTGTAAACTGCAAAGGAAGATGGTGGTAGTAATTCTTCCCTAGAACAAGCCCCTCCATGTGCAAGATCTCTAGGCACTCTGGCTGATAATATGTTGTATTTTCTACTCTTTACACTACAGTGACACCAGGCAGAATCTGTGTAGTGTCAGTAAAATGTGGACACTTTGTACAAGTTAAAACTGGAGTCAGAGAGAGCTGCTGCAAGCTCATAGAAAACTGCAAAACATTTGATTTAGAAAGAATTTTGCTTATAATCAATGCAATATGTTCCTGCATTTGTCACCCCCTTTACTTTATTACTAATGACTGTTGCAAGAAAACAGGATCTTTGTTTCTTCAGGGTTCGTCTGCTAAAATTGTTTATTCCCCACCCAAAGTCATAATGTTTGTGTTCGTGTAATCGAAACTGGCTACTCTGGTGATTATTGGAGTGTCAGAGAGGGGTGTAATGTTGGTGGAAGGGTAGCAAAAAGGGAAGATATTCATGCTTAAGAATCAAAGTTCTTATTTTCATCCACATGTCTAATGAAGCAAGAAAGAGAACGACATAAAATATGACGCATCAGCGGAATTATTTTGAAATAGAATATTTTGCCTTGTTTTCCACCAGGCATCAGAGACTCTACGTTTAAGGTAATGGAACTCACTTGTCCTATTTATTATTTTAATCTCATGATTAATTTTATTTATTTAAGGCTAGACTGTATGACTTACACAATTAAATTTTGGAAAACTCGTGGGTACTGTTGCTCTCTGATAATCTAACTGCAGCTGGGGATTCAACCACATCCCTAAATGGAATTGTGAATTCGAGTGACAAATGGCAAGCATTCATCCTCAGTTCAAGGGACAGACCTAATCCTTGCCTTCTCTTCTGACTGTTTCTCTGAATGTACTACTATTGCTTTGGTCTTACCCAGAATGAACCCCCGTCAGTTATCCAGGTCCCATTCACTACCAAAAACAGCTAGGATGTTTGACAGCACTGACAGATGACAATATTGTATTTATATGGGGCCTCTCATCTCAAAGTATCTTGGTTCTAAGTGCCCTCAGTTTCCTCTGAAGCCATTGTAAACTACAGCTGGGCCAGATTAATACATAGGCAAACAAACAGCTGCACAGTATACTCACCGTGGCTGGGCTGGGCATGCTGTGGAACTGCCAGGACTGGCTGTGCCTCTTGCTGCTTCTTGTGGCACTGCTCACCATGATGGGGAGGTGCAATGTCACTCATTCAGATTTGGCCTGGCCACTCCCCACCCATGTCATGATGGAGGGGGGCCCCTGGGCCAAATTTGAGTGGGTGTGTTGTGACTCCCATCATGATGAGTAGGGCCCTGAGCAGCATTGGGATGTGCAGCCCATCGGGCAGATCCACAGCATGGCAGCTAAGCTGCAGTGAATATACTGTATGTCTCTTTGGTGTTGTTCATGAGTCCGTAAGTGTATTTTGCCGAGCGCCCACTGATGGATTAATCTGGCTCTGCCGCTCAGTATCACACAGCACTAGGCCCTTATCAAACTGATATTCTAACTATACACTAGAGCTGGTCAGGAATAGTCCACTTTTTGATGGAAAATGCAGTTTCCACAAAGTGAACATTTTCCATAGGAAAATTTGATTTTGCTGATATTTTTCAAATTTCCATTGATAAAATCTAAATGAAATATTTCATTTTGAACCATATTGTCTCAGAATGAAACATGGTGGTGTGTTGAACCAAATCAAAACGTTTCATTCTGAGTCAGTATGACACTAATCTGTGTCTGCCTGAGCTGCTGCAGTGCCTCATGGGACTTGGAGTGCAGGTGCCATGGCTTCTCAGGATGCACTGTGGTATGGTCTCTGGCTGAACTTCCATAATGCCTCATAGGAGTCCCATAACTCAAACGTATCGTGGGAAATATAATCTGGTTGGGGAGCTCAGCCCTGAGAGGAGAATGGGGTATGAAGCACCTGATCTACAACTCTCATCAGGCACTGAGGCAGCTTAGGCAAAACCAAATGTTTAAACATTTCTGAATTGAAATTTTTCAGAACTTTCCATTCCATGAAAAAATTTGAAATTTTTGACTTCTTGTCCCAGTTTGGGATGAAAACAAATGTTGAAATAGCAGTGTTTCCTGCAGAATGAAAATTCTGATTTTCAACCAGCTCTGCTGTATGCAGAGATTATTTCATATCCTCTGGTGACTGTTTTCTACTGTGTAGAGAAGCCCTATACAACAGTTTAGAATAGGTATGAAGAATAACTTTCCTAAGAGAAACTGAAGGGGAAATTTAGGTAACCAGAATGCAATTATTTGAGTTGGAATTTGTGGTTAACACATTTATAAAAAGCACCACAGAATTTGGAATGACTAGGAATAAATCCCTTTTTTATAGCAAAAAACTCTTGTTGTTAGTGCCCAAGTGCAAGACTTTGCACTATTAAATTGAATCCAATTTCTATTAATCCAGTTTTCAAGGTCATCCAGATTTTCTTGTATGATATTCCGGTCCTCCTCTGTATTGGCAATAGCTCCCAACTTTGTATCATCTGCAGAGTTTATTAACCCATGCCCACTTTTTATGCCAAGGTCAGTAATAACAATGTTAAATAAGATTGGTCCCAAGACCGATCCCTGAGGAACTCCACTAGTTACCTCCCTCCAGCCTGACTATTTACCCTTCAGTATGATCTGTTGTAGTCTATCCTTTAACCAGTTCCTTATCCACCTCTCAAGTCTCATATTAATCCCCATCTTCTCCAATTTAACTAATAATTTCCCATGTGGAACTATATCAAATGCCTTACTGAAATCCAGGTAGATTAGGTCTACTGCATTTCTTTTGTCTAAAAAATCTGTTATCTTCTTAAAAAAAGAGATCAAGTTGGTCTGGTATGATCTACCTTTTGTAAAACCATGTTGTATATGATCCCAAATACTGTTAACCTCTATGCCTTTGGCTTTCTGTTGCCATCTTGGTCTGCTTAGTTGGTGTTTCTGGCTGTGTCTATTCTCTATCAATAGTAACACTGAAACAATACCCAGCCCTCTGTGTTTGTATTCAGCCCCCAGTGAAACCCCTCTCCCCCCATAGCTCAGCTCCTGACTGGCCTTGCATGTTGCCTGAGTTTTGGGCAGTGGCTCCTATTGTTTTAGCTAACTTGCTCCAAAAGAATCTTAACTGCTTCATATAGGAAGGGTAGCTGTCATACCCACCAGTTTCCATGAGGCTTCACCCAATCCTCAACATAACACTATTAACCTTTGAGGCCTTTTTTGATTTATTTTCATCTAGAATTTCACTGATAAATAACTGAAGGGATCTTGAGTTCCTTCTGCCCAGAATCATGACAGCAGGAGTCCAAAGAGCACTCAAAACTAGAGAACAAGTAAGAAGTAATCAGGTCCCATAACATGGGCACAGTAATATTAGAGCTGATCTGCATTTCCAAAAGGACAGTGTTGCACACAACTCTTTGTCAAGACACGGGCTTAAAACATTATTATCACCCCTACACAGGTTAAAACGGGTCTATAACATGGTTGTACGCTGGAGCTGTGGTCATTTACACCAGCTGATGACGTGGCTGCACATTTTCAGCCAATGCAAACAAGGAAATCCTTTGCGAGGTAATAACTGCAGCAGCAAAGTCATTGCTAGCATGGTTCTTTCAGTAGCCCCGAGGTACTCAAAATACGCTTGTTAATAAAACTCCTTTGGTCCCATTGCTATGAAACTCACTTGACTGAAGAACTTAGTTGAGAAAATGTTGCTAGATTCCATGCAATTTTTGTGGCTTGTCATTGGTGTTGGTGCACCTGTATAGAGCTAACAGTACAGCAAGTGAAACATGATCCTTGTTTAAACGTGGGACCAGAATAGGAACTGGTCTGAACCTCTGTCCTATTCTTGATCTGAACCAACCTTTCTTTTAGTTTCAGTGTTGGTTGGCATGGCCTTCCCGCTTCACCCATACACACGTACCCCTGCTACTAAAATGGTAGTGCAGCCAGCTGGAGCGGCCTCTCTATGGTGGCCTAGTGTTATTCTGAATGGAAATTTATGTGGTCTGGCATGCAATATTTATATTCCGCCTGGAATGCAATCTCTGCTGAAAGGCTGCCAAAGCTGATGGGCCCTGAAACTTAATGTCAAAGTCTGAGTGATTTGTGCAGATGTTAGGAAACTCAAAGGGTGGAGCGTGAGGGGAGCAGTGGGCGTTTGCAGGTTGCTAGGAACCTGTCATAGGGAGGAGGAGCCAGGGAATATTATGGAGGCAGGGCAAAGAAAGAGAAAGAGACTTGCAAAAGGGGAAATTTAAATGAACTTCTAATAAAACAACTGAATTTTTCAGTGCTTATATTTTAAGTAAGCCAGACCACATTCTCACATTTTCCATCTGTGGACTGTATGCCACCTACCTATCTCAATAGGGCATACAGTGAAATAATCTCACCCATTGCTCGGGCAAAGCACAGTACTGTGTGGCAGGAAGAAAGGCTGGGTATTCAGCTATAATTGTTGAGATTATGGACTCCAAAATGCATTAACAATCCTCTATAGTGTTCTATGGAATAAAGGACCTTTGTGTCTAAGCAGGGGGTTTTCTATTCTGTGTAAATTGATGTTATGGCGGTGCATCTGCAATGAGTGGCAGTTTGCTGGAGCATAGTCACTCCTTCATAGGCCCTCCCATTTTTTGTTTACACACATTACTTCTCTTATCTCACTATCTGTTTTTGTAGACCTCTGCAAATCTATAGAAAGTGGAAGGATAATTTGCTCCTTTTGGGGTCACTGTCTATCTCCCTCTCCTCCTCTAACATCTGTGGTTTGTATGATTTAAGGGAAGCACAAGAACGGAATGGACTCTGATAAGCAAACATAAAGAATAGTTGACAGGTCAGTATAGTGCTGTTCATGGGCTACATGTCACTGTGGATCCCATTAGTGTTACTCTAGAAACAGTTATTTCTTTCCAGTGAACACAGACAGATTTGTGCAAGCCTAATGCCTGTTCATCACATGATTTCAGATGGAAGAAGCTATTAAAGAAATCTAGTGTGTTTCCTGACTCACTGCCAGAATTAGCTAGTTTAGTAAGTTTGGATGAGCAAACACATCAATCTTTTAGAGCTGGCAGAAAAGGTACTGCTTAGGAAGTCATTTGAGCTGACACTGTTGAGATGGCAAAGATGCCTGATGTGTCTGGTATACAGGCGGCAAATACGCTTCAAGAGAAAGCTGCTATCTGTAGACCTCAGAAAAAAAGACAGTTGCCCAGCTGACTACAGGGTGAGTCTGCTCATATGACAGCTGCAGGAAACCATGAAGTGACTTTAATCATTTCTTCAGATAGGCTTTTGCCTACTGCTGAGTTGGGGATCATGTTGACTCTAGTCTGTCACATGCTGGGGAAATGGATCTTTGCTTTCATAGTCATAAACGGTGTGTGTGTCAATCTGTGAAAGTGACACAGTCGCTTTCACAAAACAGGCTGATAGAAAAGTCTGAAACTACCTGTAGTCTCAAACCTAGACTAAGCAAAAGCAGACCACATAAACTGCCAACAGTAGTGAATTGTCATTGTAAAGAGTTGCTCTGACAAAACCAGCAACACAGCTGCCTCCAGCCCCCCCCCCCCGCCACAAGCCTTAGAAAGGTTAATGATATGTTTTTAGATAACTATAATAATTGAGGGCCATATAAAGGGCCAAATCCTCAGATGGCATAAAATGGCATAGTTAAACAGCTGAGGATCTGGCCCTGTAATAGTGCTTTGCATCTTAAAATATAGTGCTAAGTCTCTTCCCAGGCAAAACTCCCACAGAGTGCAGTGAATAGAAATACAGTAGTAGGGCTTAATTAATTATTATATATGCGCCAAAACCTTAGCAGGCAGCTCTTTCTATTAATCCATTTTATTGATTAGTTTTCCACCCAGTTATCCTTTGCCAAACTGTCTTCGTGATATGAGAGTTCCTGTTCCTGTCTAAAGTATATGGATGAAATCTCCTAAGGGCCAGATTGAGATACCCTTCCTCAGAATAAGCAATGCCTTACTCTACAGGTAATCCCCTTGATTTAAATGGAAATACTAATGACATGAGGTGCTATTCAACTCAAGTCAGGATATAAAATCTGACCCTCAGAAGTTTGGTATCCAGGCTTTTCTTCATCTTTAATACTTATACAATTATCAACACATTCTGAAGCTTGGAGGCTTTCCCCCTTCTACTCTGGTATTTAGACTATTTTCATTCGCATATACCAGTCCCCATTGACGTCACTCTGAACTTTGCTTCCTCAGGGATCTCAGGATTGGTTTTACAGGCTTTTTCTTTTTTCTTGATAAAAAGAAAATGCTGCCATGAAAGATTTTGAACGCACAACACACATTTCTTCCGCTTTATAGACTTCAACTGCTTCATTCTGAGTCTTTAGCAGCAGCTCCAGTAACCACACAGCCATGTGTACACCACTGTGGTTACGGTGAAATAAACAGTGAACAGGTTTCTGATAATACCAACGCAGTGGGGCATAGTTAACATGTTATCCATCTAATATTCAGTTTGAAAAAGAAAAATATTTCTGTGAACTTGTCTCCCAGGATGTATATATTATTGGTATGCAGCAGATATTTTGATACAAATCGACCTTGAGATCTAAATGGGATCAGCAGATTCTGAGATGTACCTGGCTTATTACAAATAGTTTAAGCACAATGTGGTTTTCAGAAGCTGCTACTAGGTGCAGATTAGAGCTGGTTTATCTTGTTTTTTCTGTGTGTGGTTTTTCTGGCAAAGAAAGGGATTGGGTTTATACCTACAAAACTGGCCTATAAATCCTAGTGTTATATTTATAGATTATATTATATTTTATATTATAATTTTCATCAGTATGCAGATGCCAATATTTGAAAGCAATTAATAGGCTTTTAAGGGAAAATTCTGGACACACTGTTAGCTCCCACTGAAACATTGCAGTAGATATATTTTTTAGTGGGACAGAATGGAAAGAATTTTCCTTCCTTTCTTTCCCCCACCTTCAAATTAGTGATCTTCTCTCCTAAATAGTAGTCTGTATAAAGTAGTTTTCTTTCTTTCTTTCTTTCTTTCTTTCTTTCTTTCTTTCTTTCTTTTTCTTGAGTTACTCACATGTATAGGTGTTTGTAGAGTCAGGGCCCAAAAGTCCTTCTGCTTTGTAATTTGGAAAACGAAAGAAGCCCTTATGGTGGAAACATAAACAACAAAGGGCAAATAAATTACCTGAAGGTAAGAAATGGGCCAATATCAACACTGGAAAAGCATTTTCAAAATAAATCTAGAAAACTGTAGTACCTAGGTCTGCCACACCAGTGTGAGGCATTTATTAAGATGCAGCTTTTCAGGCATTTTGAAGATAAGTCCCTATCACATCTAGAGATACGTTTCAAGAATAATAAAAGTAGTGAGCAGCCAATGTTATGAAATCATGCCTGTGAAAGGCCACACTACAGTTGCAACTCATTTCACTGCAGTGCAGCGGGACACAGTTTCAACACAGAGAAGTTTTTAAATATGTTCCGTCCAGAACTTCATAGTTTAGAAAAATTTTATCCATGACTGCAAAGTAGAACTAGTGCACAACAATATTTTGGTGCATGTGGAAATAATCCAACACAATTAGTCATTTAGCCCTTTATGTTTATAAAAGGGGGAGTGCAAAAATTGCTTTTTTGGAAGGAATTTGAAGGCACTTCATTAAATGAACGGCTTGTATAAAGTGAAAATCTTGCTGCTTTATTCACTCTGCAGATGATTTATTGGAAGTGCATCACCATTTAGTTGATTCCTGTGGCTGAGAACAGACAGCTGATGAATCTGAAGATTAATGGGACACACCTGATCCAGTCTGCTTGTTAGTGCAATCAGTTCTGCAACTCTAATCTGCTTTGAAGTTATGTCTCTCACTTTGTTATTGTTACCAAACCAATATGTCTGTCTAATTTGCAAGGTTATTGGTAAGAAACCTAAGCATTTGTTGTGAAATCTCGGTTGTTGAAACCCACTGAAGCCACTGGGCCTACCTGTTTTGTTAGTTTGAGGCCTAAAATTTCCTAATCTGTGAAAGAGTGCTGGACAATACCAACATACTTTACAGAATCATTCCTGCATTCTAGAGAAGATATACAATATAACAAATAACCACATATAGGCACTTTCACAGTTTGTAAGGGTATGATCTATCCCATCTAGCACTGCAAATCATTTTAGATTTTTGTATATGTATGTGAAACACTAAAAAGTAATTAAAATTATGGTAGTGAAGTTGATTGTGATGTATTTATTTGGAATGGATGTCAACGAGACTTTAACGATACAAGTCCACCCAGGATCCTGGATATGTACTTGAGTGGCTACCCTGTGCTGCTGAGGTTTCACCGCTATTGTTGTTTGAGCTAGCTAGATCAAAGCTAGCTTGGGTATGTCTACAACAGCTGCAGTCACACCTCTGATTGCAATGTTGCTATACCTACAGTGTTAACGGGAAGTTACTCACAAAGGCCCAATTGCTCCTACATCCTCTGTGGATGCTTTGGACCCCTGTTCAGATCTTGGCCTTTCTGATGAGTCTTACAAGAAAAGTGACAACCATTCCCAGCTGTGGTAGGGTTTTCTGTAATGTGGACACCTGTCCACTAGGAACTTGGCTGACAGCACTGAAATGAATGAGGCAGTTCCTGTGAGTAAGAGCTCATCACTGTGAATAAGAAGGTCACAGTCTGTCCCTTTGTGTTTTACCATTGGAAACAGTCAGCATGACCCTGATCATGCAAACTTTGACTTGAGTTGTGTGAGTAAAGTTACCCACATGTTTGCAAGAGCAAGGCCATGTATGGCATTACAGTTTTTTGGTATTCTAGTCTCCAAAAATGGAAATGATATTTTCAAAGTAAAATAAATTAGTTGAATTTTTGCAAGGTAAGCTAGAAATTAAGGATGATGTTCATAGATATAGGGACATCTAGAACAAAAAGCAGATTGGCAGGATCAAAATGATCAAAATACTGGCTTTAAATCTGCTTTTCTTTATTCAAGTGATACTTGAAAAGTTTACCAATAGGCTTGAAATATTGCCAGTGGGCTATTTGTGATGAAGAAAAAAAGCATTTCCCCTCAAAATTCATTTGAATACCCCCCCCCAGTTTAATTCCAGAATTTTTCATTTTTTGTTATTTCTTGGCAGCTATGAGCCAAAATTATTTCCTTACCAACATATATGTATCTTCATCCCATTCACACAGTGTTTTGTTGCTTATTTGTGCTCTCTTGCTGGTACTAATCTTTTATTCCTGGAAAATAAAGAGTATTGAAGATGCAAACAACACACCAATCCTCTATGGGCTTGGAAAACAGAAACGAGAAAAAAAATGCACAGTAGGTCATATTTTGGGCACACCAACCTTGGTAGTGTCTCTTGACATTTCTTTCCACTTTAAGTATTCCAGTATTTGGTATGGGGCGGTGGGGGATGGAGAGTAGAGAGGAAATATTTTGAGGTGAATTCAGGGACATCCTTGAACATCACGGCAGAAAAGGGACATATTCATTCTCTATGCTTAGTGTTATAATAGCTGGCAGCCAGGGATGCTAGGTGACTCTTAACTGTGGTAGACAGGCCAGTGAGAATTGTTTCCATAGTGCCCTTAAGGAATTCCTTAAGAAAGGAAAAAAATGGATTTTGATTTTTTTCCTACCTGCTTGCTGCCAGAAAAGTTATGTCGGCCTTGGCTGATGGCCTACAGAGCTGAGAGAGAGCACATTAGAAAGGTCATTCCAAATGCAATGTTTACTTTTTATCTTCATATATTTTGTTCCTCTTCCTGTGCATCCAATAGCTCTGGTGTGTAACTGGTGTGTTTATAGATACTGTATTAGAATATAATGGACTTTCATATATTTGTTGTCTCTTAAAGTGAGATGCTAGTCATCTTTCAATTATAATATTCTGTGTACCCGAAATATACACAATTCTGGTGATATTCAATGACGGCTGTGACTTACTCATTCGCAGCAAACAACAGCAAAGAGAACAACTCTGTACCACAAGCTTCTGAAATGAACTTGGCTGGTGAGCAGGGAATGCACACACAGATCATATTCATTTCCTTACGTTTACTGATACCGTCAGGCTAGTCCTCATGAGATTAGTTGCTAACAGCCCCCAGTTCAACTGTGAGCTTATTGGATGAGTTCTGAATTTTCCAGTCCTCTTGCTTACTGAACCGGTTCATTAAAACACAAATGAACTTTTTACATTAGGACTTTGGCTCCTTTTGGACACTGTTTACATTTAGCCTTTATCTTATAACACTCAAATAGTTTGTTCAGTTGAACTCTGCTCTTGAACTAGGCAGGGCAGCCAAGTGTCCCTCATCTCAAGGAAGAGTTATTTATTTCAAGGCAGTCTCTCTCTCTCTGACATGCTGTTAAATGTATTCAATAGGAGATGGCAGAACCAGGAGAAATTTGGGCTTTGGAGAACATTAGAAGTATAGAAAAAAGTTGAACAGGTTTCTTGAAACTTCTGGAAAAATATTTTCCAACAGAATCACCCCAAATGGGCCATAAATATTTGTTGATTCCATTGTGCTCATATCAGTATTATAAAGCGAATGCTTTTAAAATAGGGCCTGATCCAAACCCCACTGAAGTCAATGAAAAGACTGTTGTGTTGAGTAGGTCCTGAATTATCCCCCTTAAGGATAATAGTAACTCCCATTTAGTCCAAGTGACTTCTGTGGGACTGACTCATATCCTGCACAGCATAAGGAGGGAGGCCAAATTAGGCGGAGGTTTCTTCCTAGTAAAAGACCACTACCATAAACCATTGGTCAGCCAATAGAAAACAAGCCATGCAGAGCACAGCTACCAGCTGTTCTTTGGGACAGACTAAAGAACAGCTAAATGAGTTGGTCAAGGCAGTAGGAGAAATAGGCTCAGATTTTTAAAGGTGTTTAGGTATTTCTTTGCTCAGTGTTGCAAGGATTAAGGTCTAGATTCACAAAGGTACTTAGGTGCTTAAGCCCCAGATTTAGGCACCTAAGTGTGGGTTGAGGCACCTAAGTCCCAGTTTTAGACTCCATAGCTACTCACAAAACTCTCACTGAATCCTATAGGCACCTAAACTCACTCAGCTTCTAAATTTTTCAGTTAAAAGTTCCCTCAGCATCTAATTTGTGCCTCTGGGCATACACACTGCTGCCTCACTCTAAGCATCTGGGTGCATATCTCCTGGCTAAGTAGAGTGACCAGATGTCCTGATATTATTGGGACCATCCTGATATTAGGAACTTTCCCTTATATATGCAACTATCCTCCTCCGCCCTATCCCGGGGGGGGGGGGGAAGGGGTCCCGATTTTTCATACTTGCTATCTGGTCATCCTATAGCTAAGCTCCAGAGTGATTGCAACCATAATCCTAACTTGCATGTGCAGTCTGATCCATCAGGTGTGCTTAGAGCATTCCTATTGGACCACTCCCCACCCCAGGCTAGTTCACACAAATCAGATAGTCATTGGGTATGGGAGAGCAGGAGGACCATCTCCCTCAGAACTTTTAGCCCAGTGGTTAGGGTACTTACCTGGGATTTGAGAGATCCTGGGTTCAAGTGCCCCCTTCACCCGATGAGAGGAAGGGATTTGAACAGGTCTCTGCCATCTCTCAGATGAGTATGAGTCTGGAATATTCTGATGTGGGGCTCCCTCACTCTCTCCCATTGAAACTGTTCCACTGTGGATAAATAGTCATTGGAGCAGAGGGACTGGACCCTGCGTCTCCCACCTCCCAGGCAGGTGCTCTAACCACAGGATATAGAGTCATTCTCGTGCTTGTGCACACTTGCTCTCTCTGGCCCACTGTCTCCTTAGTTTTAACTAATAACTCTTTTTATTTGTATCTTGATGTAGCTAGTTCAGGTCAAATCTATACCCAAACCTGGGATTTATCTCAGCTAGCTACGCTGAGATAATGACTGTCTGTGCCATGTCTCCACTAGGGTTTTGGAGTGAGATCTATCTTGAGTTAGCTATCGCTACATAAAAAACAAGCCTTTTTTCCCCAGTAAAGACATAGTCTTAGTTTCTCCTGGGAAGTGGGGTGATAAGAGCCCTGCTGGTGCAACTTTCTAATGAGATGTGCTGAATCCCTGAACTTCCCCAGATCCCTGGCCACGTACTCCTCATAGCCAGTATTGCTTATGTTTCAGGCATTGCTGGCCATCTGTGGGATAACCATCCAATTTGCAGCCCTACCTCACTACCAGGCAGATTTTCTATGCCTCAGTATCCCATCTGTAATATTGATAATACATTTCACTACATGACAGGGGTATTGTGAGGATAAATACATTAGGATTGTGACACGCTCAGATATTATGGTAAGGGGCATTACTGGCAACTTGTGGGGTGACTCTCCAACTTGCAGCCCTATCTTACCACCAGGCAGACTTTTCCACCACCTAAGGTCCCATGAAAGCTGAATTAAACCAGGGGTGAATGTAACTCTTAGTCTAGAAGTGACATAGTGAGATAGAAGCAGATATTAAACCGATTAAGTAGATAAGATACTAAATGTGATGGTTTCTTTCCGTTGCTCTGTATATGCTTTACACTGCCATCAATTTTGGTCTGCTTGTATTCATGAAACCTCTGAGTTTTGGTTCAAACAGTCCCCGCAATTCAAAGTGAAACTGTCAAATTCTCCCCATTTCACTTGGTTTTGACCTGAAACTGCACATTTCCCATGGCACTTTCGACTGTAAAGTATAACTCTGGTTTGGTTGAGGCAGGGCTCAGGTTGACTCAATAGTTTTGCAAATATTTGCAAAGTTTTCCCCAGAGCTGAGTTTCAAGTTTGCAATGAAACCTGAACCCAGGCAAGTTCTGTGTGGTTTTGGGTTTCATTGCAAACATTTAGGCAATGTAATAAAGCTAAGCCTTTTCCCCCTTACCCCTAGAATGATCTAATAATCATTTTTCTCAATTCTCCCCATTTTGGTGCCCCAGCAACATTCAATATTATTTTGTATTTTAAAATCTGGTTATATAGTGCCCATCAGATAAAACATTTGCTGCCACTTTTCAACCCATTACTATTCATTCTTGGCAATTGAACTTTAACCAGTATCACACTTACTAAGATTTTAGTCAACAGAGCAAAAAATCTTCGCTGTTTTTCTCTTGGCATAGACAGAGAAACCCAAATGTAATTATTTTTTGTTTGCAAGTATGCGTCATGTTAAACTGAGGCCCAGTTGATTAGATGTGGATGTATAATCACCTTCTCTCTCTGCCAGATTTCATATTTGTGTCCAAGTGGCTGTTGTCCATTATTTCTGCAGATTGGCATAAGACTTAATTACGCGGAGACTTTCCTCCCCCTTTCAGGAGACTGGGATCTTTAGGCTGTGCATTTCAAGCCACCAAAGTCTCTTCCAAGTGCAGGAACCAGTCCAGGTCTAAACAATGCTAATCAAACTTCAGTCTCCGAAATGCAATGGTTTTTATCAATTATCCCCTTTTGCAAGTTACTCAGAAGCTTAATATGCAAGGAGGTTACTAAAATTTTTGGTTTGTGAGGGAAAGCTCTCACTCTTCATTTCAATTCTTTTGTGTACCATTTAAGTAAAACAGGCCATTAATGTGCATAAATAATTGGGAGGAAAACCTATGCATACAAATACAAACACAGAGCATTTGTACTCCAACCCATGAATTGATGTACTTGGCTTTCATACCCTTGCAGGCAAATCAAGAACTCTTGGTTGATACTAGTTTAGAGCTTCAGATGACATGTTTTGAGTGGAAGGCAGTATAAATTTACTACTAAACTGTAATTTTTCTGAGGAAAGCACAAGGGCTTGGTTTACTAGCAATTACCTAAAACAGCAGTTTAAGTAAACAGAATCTGACATGTTCTGTATTTCTGCCTGAATTGTTTTACCATCTTGTTATTAACAAAGGGATTATAGGAACACAGGGTTGCCATACCAGATGTGATTATTCATTGGTCTGTCTAGTCTGAGATCCTGCCTCCAGCTGTGGTGCCCAATACCTGATGTGACACAGAGAGGGCTCTGCAAAGCACATTAATGACCGCACAATGCTATGCAGTGGGTGGGAATAATTTTGAAGCTTTCGAAGGCAGCCTGTTTATGCCCAGAAGCATGCGACTTAGAGACTTATATACTGTATAGTTACCTCCGAGTGGTGGTAATGGTCATAAAATGATCCGACCCTTTTTAAAACCCAGCCACAGTATTTGTCTCGATGGCCTCCTCGGGCAATGAAGT